CATGGTGGTGAGGAAGATCGACGGAGCATGGTTTAACTTTTGGGAAATAAGCCGAACGAAGATCAAATCTTTCTGCATCAAACACACACACACACACACACACACACACACACACACACACACACACACACACACACACACACACACACACACACACACACACACACACACACACACACACACACACAAAGCGCATTTTCGACATGGTTCCACAACTTACGTAAACATTATGCAGAAACTTCTAAGGCGATGCCAAGATCCCGATTCAGCTGTTCATGTTTACTCGAAATGATGTATTATATTGCATGGAATAATGGTATCGATGAGAATGCTGATGGCAGTTGTAGCTCTGTTGATATGGTGATGACGATGGTGATGATGATGATGATGGTGATGATGATGATGGTGATGATGATGGTGATGATGATGGTGATGATGTGATGGTGGTGATGATGGTGATGATGATTGATGATGATGATGACGATGGTGACGATGGTAATGATGATATTGGTGATAACGATGGTGATGATATTGGTGATGATGATGATAGTGATGATGGTAATGATGGTAATGACATTGGTGATGACGATAGTGATGGTGAAAATGATGGTGATGATGATAATGGTAATGGTATTGGTGATGATGATGGTGACGATGATGATGGTGACGGTGATGATGGTGATGTGGTGATGATGATGGTGACGATCGTGATGATGGTGGTGATGACGATGGTGATGACGATGTTGATGGCGATAGTGATTATAACGATAATGTGGACAATTATATGATTATGATGGTTTTGTCGATGATGTGATGATAATAGTGATGATTATGATGCATATGAGGATGAGGATGAAGATGAAGATAAAGTTTATCATGTAATGGTGATGATAATGGCGAGGATGATATTATTACGAAAAAGATGATGATAATAGTGATGGTTATAGATAAGATAAATGTAATGATGATGACTGTAGAATATCAGTAATATTTCTATCACTACTATGAGGATCACAGTAATGATGATAATAGTGACAATGATTATGGTAATGATAACACGATGCTGATAATGATAATAATAGAAATGATGGTGATAATAAGGATATGAATGATACTGATGATGATGATAATGATAATGATATTGATAATAATAATAATAACAGTAATTATAACGATAGTAATAATGATAATGATAATGATAATAACAATAATTATAATGATAATAACAATAATTATAATGATAATAATGATAATAACAACAATAGAAATGGTAGCAATGATAATGATAAAATGATAATAACGATAATAGCAGTAATGATAATGATAATGAAAATAGTAATGATAATGATAATAATAATAACAATTAAGTATGATGCGATGATATTGATAATAATAATGATAATAATAATTAGGATGATGATAAAAGTAATAATAATAAGAATAATCATAAAAGTAATAATAATGATAATAATTATAATCAAAAGGATGATAGTAATGCATTTATGATAATGATAATAATAATGATAAAGATAATGATGATGATAATAATGATGGTAATAATGATAAATTAACAATGTTAATAATGATAATGATAATAATAATGGAAAATGTAATAGTAATGATACTAATGACGATAACAATCATATTGATGATGAAAATGATAACAATGATAATGATGATAGCATTAATGATAATGATGATAACCATTATCATCTTTATCATTTTTATTATTGTCATTGTTGTTACTATTATTGTATTTGTTATCATTATCATTATTTTCATCATTATTATCTCCACTGACAAATTTGATTAATCATATTAGTACTGTTCGTGAACAATGTTTTTGGTAGCGTGGATTAGTTAGTTGATTTGTTAGCAGGAAAACTCAAAAAGTTATGAATATATTTTTATGATTATTTCTTCTTTTTTCATACCAGAGGTGTCTCTTAGCCCAGTTTAGATGCCATTAAATTCTGGTTAGCATTAGGATTATTGGGATATTTTTTTGCTAATATATATTTTTTTAATGATAAATTTTGAATAAATCATTTGCATTGCGAGATGGGGAAGCGCGGACTTCACCAGTGTACTTGAGGATGAGGTGACTTCCTCGAGTACACTGGCGACGTGTTCTTGAATGTAATTTTTTAGATGTGAATATTCTTATTGGATCAGTGGCTCTTTTGCCTAGGCCGAGGTATGCGCTCTCTGGGTGCTTTTGGTTATCAATAAAATTGCTTTTAGCATCATTATCGGTTATATCAGCAGGGGAATCTTCTAGATCATAATCATGAATTGTCATGATCACCATCAACACTGCTGCTATGACCATCATTATCAATTGTTCATTGTGATCATCTCCATTCTTCTTGGAATAATTTTCGCTGCCTTGCTATTTGCCATCGTCTTCCTTTTCATAATATTTTTGATGTTGCTTTTGGCGCGATGTATTTCCGTTTGCTTCGCGATTCACGCTTCTCCCTTCTCCTTCCAGCTCCTCCTCCGCGCGCGGCCGCCGACCCAGCGTCCTGCATGCCTGAGGCGCCCGCCGCTCGCTCTGCTCGCCATGGCGTGGACCGGTTCGCGCAACGCCTCCGCCGCGCCCGCGTGGGATCCCCAGACCTTCACCGCTGACGCCAACGCTTCGCAGGCCTTCACGAGCGCCTTCGAGGAGTACAGCATGATCGGCGACGTCGGGCCGAGCGCGGGCTCCGACTTCTACGACGTCGGGTCGTCCGCGGCGGGCGTGGGCAACGCTAGCGAGGGCGGCGTGGGCGCGTCCCGAGACGAGGCGCTGGTCGTGTGGGAGATCATCACGCTGGTCCTGATCTTCACGCTGACCGTGTTCGGCAACGTGGTGGTGCTGTTCATGCTGCTGGTGCGGCGCAAGAAGCTCACGCGCATGTGCTACTTCATCCTGAGCCTGTGCATGTCCGACCTCATCACGGCGTTCCTGAACGTGCTGCCGCAACTCATCTGGGAGGTCACCTACAGGTTCCACGGCGGGGGCTTCCTGTGCAAGGCGGTCAAATTCGGCCAGCTGCTCGGGCCATACCTGAACTCGTACCTGCTGGTGATGACGGCGCTCGACCGCTACCAGGTCATCTGCTACCCGCTGTCCAACTGCTCGTGGACGCCACGCAGCTCCAAGAACATGATCTTCGTGGCGTGGGTGCTGGCGCTCGGCTCCTGCACGCCGCAGGTCTTCATCTTCAGCTACCAGGAGGTGGCCGCCGGGACGTGGGACTGCTGGGCTTCCTTCATACCGCCTTGGGGCACCAAGGCCTACGTCACGTGGTACGCGCTCTCCGTCTTCATAGTGCCTCTCTTCATCCTCATCTTCGTGTACTCCTGCATCTGCCGGACGCTGTGGGTCAACTCCAAGCTCAAGCAGATGGACGACCACACGCGGCGGAGGCGCAACACGCGGCGGCCCGCGCCTCCTCGTCCCTGCGGCGCAGAGTACGCAGCGACGGCGAGGTGTCCACCTGCCTCCACGAGCCGTCGCTGCAGAGGGAGGAGCTGTCCGCCCCGGGCAGCGCCTCGGCCCACGCCAGCCCCGGCGGCGGACACAAGGCGACGCCCTCGCTGGCCAACGGCGCGGGCGGCAGCGTCACGGCGCAGAACATCCGCCTGCACCCCTGGAACCCGCGCTCGCACTCCGTCAAGAGCATCAGCCGCGCCAAGATCAAGACCGTCAAGCTGACAGTCACCGTCATCCTCTGCTACGTCAGCTGCTCGGCGCCCTTCATCTCCGTCCAGCTGTGGCATGTGTGGGACCCCAACGCGCCCTCGTCGCCCTTCTACAACGGCAAGGCACTTGGCTCCGGCCTCTCGCTCTCGTTGCCTCTCGCTGTCTCTCTCTCTCTCTCTCTTTTACTTTTTCCCTTCCCCTCCTTTCCTCCTTCCCTCAATCATTCCCTCTTTTCTTCCTTCCCTTCCTCCTGTCTGTCTCTTATTCTCCCTGTCTCCCTCCTCTACCTCTCCCTCTTTCCCTGTCTTTGTCTCTCTCTCTTTATCCCTCCCACTCCTCCCTTCCTTTCCTCCCCCCACCCTCCCCCCTTTCTCTGTCTCCCTGTTAGTTTCCCCTTTCTCTCTTTTTATCTTCTGCTATTTCAAACAGTATACCACTATGACGTAAAGTAATTAGTAAACCTGGGATCCCTTACCGAATGGGCTACTCGACGATCCAGATGCATCACACACACGCACATGTACACGTATACACACGCACACACACGCACACACACACACACACACGGATATATATGACACACACAACACACACACACACACACACACACACACACACACATATATATATATGTATGTGTGTGTGAGTGTGTGTTTGTGTATGTGTATGTGTGTGTATATATATATATATATATATATATATATATATATATATATATATATATAATATATATATATATATATATATATACGCATATATATATATATATATGTATATATATGTATACATACATACATATATATGTATATATACATATATATACTTTCTATGGTGGTCGTCCGTATCCTCTTCACACATCCTTTCATCTCCTCCTCTCCTCACCTTAACACCCTTCCATCTTCCCTATCCTGTTCATTCTCTATCTCCATTTATCTAATCCCCCCCGCCCCCAGCCCCTCTCTCTTCCTCTCGCCAGGTCTGCTTCCGTTGGCACTTGTGGCACCGCCCTCGCCCCTCTTTTGCCTGCCGCCCCTCTGCCTTTGATGGCATCTGGAGGGCTATGTAAGGGGGACACGCACACACAGATATGTACTTTATATTCATCTCTGTGTGTGGGCGTGTCTTTTCTGTCTGTGTGATGTCTTTCTTTCTTCTTCGTTGGGATGTTTGTCATCTAGTCTATTTTTAGTCTCAGATACATTATGTTGTTTTTTTCTTAAGAGGTAATTCATTTTTTTTTAGTACATCTTAAGTTTCTTTTATGTCTGTGTGATTTCTTAATTCTTTTCCAGGGCGTTTGTTATCT